CGAAGATAAAACCTGGATCTTATGAATTTAAAATGCATAGGCTTTATTTATACCGAGTACATGAGCCTGGTTTTCTAAGGTATTTGAAACACATTGGATGTATTGATAATAAGGTTGACATAGTTATTATGTGCTTGCAATGCATAGAGTGTATTAGATGTTATATGCAATATATATATGCAATTAAAATACATAAATCCTCTATATTAGGCCAAATATTTCTGAGTGATACAGTATGTCCTCTTTTAGTAGGACATATTAAAGTTCAAGTGTTGCACCTCTTTTGTAAGGACTGTAATTCTGAGGTTGTTTTCTATGGTTTAAACAAATGCATTTCTCCAAGTGGCCCGGCACAAAAGCTGTAATCAGAGTTTTAAAAAAAATGTGAAGGAAATACAGAGAGACTATTCCAGGATTACTTTATCTGAGAAGGTCAGCTGACGGCATTCAAAGCTCTGACGTGGAAATAACCTTTCACAGTTGAATCGAGAGGCGTTATGAGCCCACAGTCTTAACGTGTGCTCTCTAATATTGATGACCTTTAGACACGGAGGGACAAGAAATCAATATTCCTTTCTCATGTGTGATTGCTTCAATTGTATTCTAGAATACAAGGCTAGATCTCAGCGTGGTCTCCTTTGAGACATTAATATCTCAACAACAAAGAGATAGATTGACTTGTCATTTTGTACAAACAATGCTCGTCTTGTCCGTGTTTAAAGAGTCCTCTCCTGCTGATGTTCAGGTGTATATCAGTATGTAGTGTCTCTACTTTAAAGAGTTCTCTCCTGCTGATGTTCAGGTGTATATCAGTATGTAGTGTCTCTACTTTAAAGAGTTCTCTCCTGCTGATGTTCAGGTGTATATCAGTATGTAGTGTCTCTACTTTAAAGAGTCCTCTCCTGCTGATGTCCAGGTGTATATCAGTATGTAGTGTCTCTACTTTAAAGAGTCCTCTCCTGCTGATGTTCAGGTGTATATCAGTATGTAGTGTCTCTACTTTAAAGAGTCCTCTCCTGCTGATGTTCACGTGTATATCAGTATGTAGTGTCTCTACTTTAAAGAGTCCTCTCCTGCTGATGTTCAGGTGTATATCAGTATGTAGTGTCTCTACTTTAAAGAGTCCTCTCCTGCTGATGTTCAGGTGTATATCAGTATGTAGTGTCTCTACTTTAAAGAGTCCTCTCCTGCTGATGTTCAGGTGTATATTAGTATGTAGTGTCTCTACTTTAAAGAGTCCTCTCCTGCTGATGTTCAGGTGTATATCAGTATGTAGTGTCTCTACTTTAAAGAGTCCTCTCCTGCTGATATTCAGGTGTATATCAGTATGTAGTGTCTCTACTTTAAAGAGTCCTCTCCTGCTGATGTTCAGGTGTATATCAGTATGTAGTGTCTCTACTTTAAAGAGTCCTCTCCTGCTGATGTTCAGGTGTATATCAGTATGTAGTGTCTCTACTTTAAAGAGTCCTCTCCTGCTGATGTTCAGGTGTATATCAGTATGTAGTGTCTCTACTTTAAAGAGTCCTCTCCTGCTGATGTTCAGGTGTATATCAGTATGTAGTGTCTCTACTTTAAAGAGTTCTCTCCTGCTGATGTTCAGGTGTATATCAGTATAAAGCGTCTCTACTTTAAAGAGTCCTCTCCTGCTGATGATCAGGTGTATATCAGTATGTAGTGTCTCTACTTTAAAGAGTCCTCTCCTGCTGATGTTCAGATGTATATCAGTATGTAGTGTCTCTACTTTAAAGAGTCCTCTCCTGCTGATGTTCAGGTGTATATCAGTATGTAGTGTCTCTACTTTAAAGAGTCCTCTCCTGCTGATGTTCAGGTGTATATCAGTATGTAGTGTCTCTACTTTAAAGAGTCCTCTCCTGCTGATGTTCAGGTGTATATCAGTATGTAGTGTCTCTACTTTAAAGAGTCCTCTCCTGCTGATGTTCAGGTGTATATCAGTATGTAGTGTCTCTACTCTAAGAGTCCTCTCCTGCTGATGTTCAGGTGTATATCAGTATGTAGTGTCTCTACTTTAAAGAGTCCTCTCCTGCTGATGTTCAGGTGTATATCAGTATGTAGTGTCTCTACTTTAAAGAGTCCTCTCCTGCTGATGTTCAGGTGTATATCAGTATGTAGTGTCTCTACTTTAAAGAGTCCTCTCCTGCTGATGTTCAGATGTATATCAGTATGTAGTGTCTCTACTTTAAAGAGTCCTCTCCTGCTGATGTTCAGGTGTATATCAGTATGTAGTGTCTCTACTTTAAAGAGTCCTCTCCTGCTGATGTTCAGGTGTATATCAGTATGTAGTGTCTCTACTTTAAAGAGTCCTCTCCTGCTGATGTTCAGGTGTATATCAGTATGTAGTGTCTCTACTTTAAAGAGTCCTCTCCTGCTGATGTTCAGATGTATATCAGTATGTAGTGTCTCTACTTTAAAGAGTCCTCTCCTGCTGATGTTCAGGTGTATATCAGTATGTAGTGTCTCTACTTTAAAGAGTCCTCTCCTACTGATGTTCAGGTGTATATCAGTATGTAGTGTCTCTACTTTAAAGAGTCCTCTCCTGCTGATGTTCAGGTGTATATCAGTATGTAGTGTCTCTACTTTAAAGAGTCCTCTCCTGCTGATGTTCAGGTAATGCTTTATGATTAACTTTTTTCTTTGCCAGTCTGATGTAATTCTTAGAAAACGCCACCGTTGCTTCCTGGAATCTCTTCAATAAAGCTCCTTGTTCCAGGAAGCTTTATGAATATGCCCCCAAGTCACACATGTATACTCTATCTACATGTATACTCTATCCACATGTATACTCTATCTACATGTATACTCTATCTACATGTATACTCTATCCACATGTATACTCTATCCACATGTATACTCTATCCACATGTATACTCTATCCACATGTATACTCTATCCACATGTATACTCTATCCACATGTATACTCTATCCACATGTATACTCTATCCACATGTATACTCTATCCACATGTATACTCTATCTACATGTATACTCTATCCACATGTATACTCTATCCACATGTATACTCTATCCACATGTATACTCTATCTACATGTATACTCTATCTACATGTATACTCTACAAATGTGATGCTATGGTTAATTAATACAGCATTGAATGATGCAGATTGGATCTAAGGAACAGATTTAAGATAAACTACAGAGCCTGCATTCAGTTAGATGAAAGAACATGTCTCTGGGTGCAACATGTGACTAACGCACTTGTGTTTGAAAAGGTTTTTGCACGAGAGAGAGAGAGAGAGAGAGAGAGAGAGAGAGAGAGAGAGAGAGAGAGAGAGAGAGAGAGAGAGAGAGAGAGAGAGAGAGAGAGAGAGGAGAGGAGAGAGAGAGAGAGAGAGAGAGAGAGAGAGCATACTTGTTAGTGAGATCAATTCATTGTTGATGTTTTCAGAAAACCACAAGACTTAAGGGAAACAGGCAGAAAAAGTACTTAAAGAATCAAAAGTAAAGTGGTTGTTCGGCTGAAATGTGTTTTTATTTAACCGTAATTTAACCAGAAAATTGATTAACAACACATTCCTGTAAACAATGGCTGTTAATAGTTTTGTTTACTGTGTATTCTTAGCTACAAATTATATTATTTGATTATATCAGCGATGCCTGATCCACGTGGAATTAATAATCTGCAGCTAGACTATTGTATAGACATCACATTACATTCAGCTGACGCTTTTATCCACAGCGACTTACAATAAGTACATTCGACCAAGAAGACACAACCTTGAAGAAAACAGAATCATATAAGTACATCAGGTTTCATAGAGCCAAACATTTCAAGTGCTACTCAACTGGCTTTAGGTAATCCAGTCCTTTATTAGTATATAAGTGCTTTGTTAATAGTTCTATCGCTCGAAGTGGAGTCGAAAGAGATGAGTTTTCAGTCTGGAAGGTGTGTAAGCTATCTGCCGTCCTGATGTCAATGGGGAGCTCATTCCACCATCTTGGAGCCAGGACAGCAAACCCACGTGTTTTCGCCGATGGGAACTTGGGTCCCCTTCGCAGCGAGGGCGCAGCGAGTCGTTTGGCTGATGCAGAGCGTAGTGCACGTGCTGGGGTGTACGGTTTAACCATGTCCTGGATGTACGAAGGGCCAGATCCATTCGCAGCGTGGTACGCAAGTACCAGTGTCTTGAAGTAGATCATAGCAGTTATAGCAGCGCCTTTGTTTTATAACTGCGTAATAATCTGCATTGAAACTATAGCTGTTCAATAAAAAGAGTATACTGTATTTTCACCTGAGATTTTAAGCTATGAATGGGAATTATTATCCTAAGAAAAAGATAGCAATACAACAATATACACACATACTACATTACGAGCTACATGTCAAATAAAAATGTGAGCAAAATGTCCTTTCTTTGCAATAAAATGTCATTTAAATGAACAATGGATAGTGAAAGGGGAGTGTGTTGAAGGGGATACTGCTTCTAATTTATATTTGTACTTAAACTTATAAAAATGAAATGCTTTTCTGCTTGTTCCCTTACTGTACGTCATTACTCCACTAGTTCATAATGCTATCTGTTATATCGTTTCTTTGTATTTTTCTAAAGTACTAAAGAAAGTTCTAAAGGAAAAGCGATATTATTTAAATGTATTATCATTTTTTTTAATGTATTATTATTTTCATCATTATTTTATGTTATTATTACTTAATTAGTTTTCTGACTGTACACCCCTGCAGAACTGTCACTTGAGTCTTTCCTGTGCCTGCTATTTGCCGTACAGGTGCATTGTGGTTAAGAGTTATCACGTCATGCTGATGTGTATTCAGGTGGTTCTAAAAAAAAGGATATGAAGGTGGTGAGTCAGCACAGTAGGACCCGACATCTGCAAGAACATAACGTCTGTGAACACGCTGTAATACCAGAAATTTGAATTTAAATTCAACAGAATGAAAACCCTTTTTCCCTTGAGTGCTCACATGCTGCTTCTCTGTCTGAATGATGCTCTTGTGTTTTCTTTAGGGCCGGTCTGCTGATTCTGTGAATGACGGAAAGCCTCAGCATGACCTCTGTCTTTGAAAACTCTGTTATGACGGAAAGAAAAGTTCACAGTGAGGAGTTCCTAAAAAAGATTTCTTCCTGAATGCTGAATTTTAAGTCACAGCTCGATGCTATCTTTACAGCTTCCCCTCACATTCAGTTCAGCTCCAACGAAAAATAGAAATCTTAATCCTTTCCCTCACTCCTCGTTTCTAGCTTTTCTGTTGTTTCCCACATCCAGGGGACACTAAAAAGTGACGCACACATCTGGAGACCAGGGGACACTAAAAAGTGACGCACACAGCTGGAGACCAGGGGACACTAAAGAGTGACAAACACAGCTGGGAGACCAGGGGACACTAAAGAGTGACGCACACAGCTGGAGACCAGGGGACACTAAAGAGTGACGCACACAGCTGGGAGACCAGGGGACACTAAAAAGTGACGCACACAGCTGGAGACCAGGGGACACTAAAAAGTAACACACACAGCTGGAGACCAGGGGACACTAAGGAGTGACGCACACAGCTGGAGACCAGGGGACACTAAAGAGTGACGCACACAGCTGGGAGACCAGGGGACACTAAAGAGTGACGCACACAGCTGGGAGACCAGGGGACACTAAAGAGTGACGCACACAGCTGGGAGACCAGGGGACACTAAAGAGTGACGCACACAGCTGGGAGACCAGGGGACACTAAAGAGTGATGCACACAGCTGGAGACCAGGGGACACTAAAGAGTAACACACACAGCTGGAGACCAGGGGACACTAAGGAGTGACGCACACAGCTGGAGACCAGGGGACACTAAAGAGTGACACACACAGCTGGGAGACCAGGGGACACTAAAGAGTGACGCACACAGCTGGGAGACCAGGGGACACTAAAAAGTGACGCACACAGCTGGGAGACCAGGGGACACTAAAGAGTGACGCACACAGCTGGGAGACCTGGGTACACTAAAGAGTGACACACACAGCTGGAGACCAGGGGACACTAAAGAGTGACGCACACAGCTGGGAGACCAGGGGACACTAAAGAGTGACACACACAGCTGGAGACCAGGGGACACTAAAGAGTGATGCACACAGCTGAGAGACCAGGGGACACTAAAAAGTGACGCACACAGCTGGGAGACCAGGGGACACTAAAGAGTGACGCACACAGCTGGGAGACCAGGGGACACTAAAGAGTGACGCACACAGCTGAGAGACCAGGGGACACTAAAAAGTGACGCACACAGCTGGGAGACCAGGGGACACTAAAGAGTGACGCACACAGCTGGAGACCAGGGGACACTAAAGAGTGATGCACACAGCTGGGAGACCAGGGGACACTAAAAAGTGATGCACACAGCTGGGAGACCAGGGGACACTAAAAAGTGACGCACTTAGCTGGGAGACCAGGGGACACTAAAGAGTGACGCACACAGCTGGAGACCAGGGGACACTAAAGAGTGACGCACACAGCTGGGAGACCAGGGGACACTAAAAAGTGACGCACACAGCTGGGAGTCCAGGGGACATTAAAAAGTGACGCACACAGCTGGTTCAGAATTATAAAGTTGGACAACTGTCTCTGTTGTTGGAAACTTACCTAAAATGTTGTATGGTCTTATTTTAACTATGTGATCACATGACTCCTGATGTCACTGCAGATCTGCTGTAAGCTAGCTAGCTAACGTAGCTAACCTTGTCTTTTCAGATATACTGACGAAACACTAAGTTATCGCTGCGCATCTTCAACCCAAAAGTGTGATAAGTTACATTATGGGGTCTTGCATTTTTCCCCATAGAGAAAGTCCCCTTATTGTCAGTACGTTAACAATGTTCCCATAACATCAGTAAAACAAACACACACACACACATACACACACACAAGTAACCTTGTACTTTATACACTAATGCATGTAAGTGGAAGTAAACACTGGAAAGCAATCACATTGATTTCAAGCTTAGCAATTATAAGACAATCAGCTGTGAATCCTTTAGAGGAAGGATGTGCTAGATTAACCACGCCAGAGGACTAAAGAAATGTAATACAATTAATTTATAAAAGCAAGATGAATGTGAACATAATTACAAGGCGGATCATCATCACGAGCTGGAACAACTTAATTGTAGATGAAAGACAAAACTGTAAATGGAAAAGCAGTGAAGTGAATAAGAATCCTTTTTGTAATAACTTGCAAATCCATTTAAAGTAACAGTCATTTCTAGTCTCAATACATGAAGGAAGTGTTCAGTCAAAGAGAAGTAACAAAGACTTCTGGTTGATCAGAGATGCCAAAAGTACACACTTCCTTTCCTCAAGTAGAAGTACAGATACTCGTGTTTAAAAATACTCTGATGAAAGTAGAAGTACTGACTAAACTTCTTTACTCAAGTCAAAGTAAAGAAGTTTGAAATGTACTTCAGTAAAAAGTACCCATAACTAGCAGCTGTTTTAAAGAGTACCTGACCTCCCTTTATATCAGGGGTGGGGAACCTTTTTCCTCTCAAGGGCCATTTCAATGTTTTCAACATCCTCCGAGGGCCGTACAAATTATTGACCTCTGCTTAAAAATACTAAAATCACAGCCCATTCATTTGGCCTTTCTTTCATGCTGTGCAAAGAAAAAGCAACCTCTTAATCCAGATATCTTGCCATGACTCATGCATGCACGTGCACGGTTGTGGCATGACCACCAAACAGAAAGATATGGACACAAGATGTGTGCAAATGTATTTAGACTCCTATCCATGTGAACATGATTTAAGTTGGGGGGACCTAACCTCCTCTAGGGGGGTCCCCCCCGGACCCCCCTAGAGGAGGTTAGGTCCCCCCAACCTCCCCCGGGAAGATTTTTTTTTAAATGTTGAAGTTCAAAGCATCAATCTGGTGCACTTTGAGAGCAACGTGAAGAGATCTATGGAGACATCTCTCAACACCCATATGAAACAGAACTGGAAGCAGATTTTTTTTTTTTTTTATGGATATTTACAAATCACTCTCCTTTCAAACTGTATTCTTGTTTATTAATAACAACTTTTTTTACTGTCATAGTATTTTATACCTGTTTACTTTATTCTCTTATTTTTTGATAACTATAATGATCATATAAAGATGTGCCTTTACCTCACTGGTTGAAGAAAAAGCTTCTTATATTCGTTAGCATAGCTAGCTAACCAGATGCTAAAAACAACAAAGTTATTGACTGTATGATCAGAATGACAGATGAACAGATCGCCACTGGGCTTTCAACTAAAGACACAGCCACGCAAAAACTGCAGCATGTGTACGGCTCCTTATGGGTACTGCAATTTTTGGAAGTGCCGGTAAACGTGTCATTTAGAAATGCGCGTTCCCGTTACAAGGGGGGCATTTCATGACGGGGAGGCATAATGTGACACAACACCGGAACGGAGCTGCGTTCTGGTGCTCACTGCCCCCCGTCAGAACTGCACCTCTGTCAGACGAGACATATACCACGTGATGACAAGTTAGGCTTGTGTTGTGTTCTAGGACCCTAACTTTAGCCAGGAAAAACAGTTACTCACTTGTTTAATTATTTTGCGGTCTAGATTTCTTTAATTGTTTTCTTTTTGCGTGTGTTTATAAATTACCTCGAGGGCCACACCAAATGGTCTCGCGGGCCGTATACGGCCTGGGGGCCGGAGGTTCCCCACCCCTGCTTTATATGAATAGAACAATAATGTCATTGTTAGCTAATGAATGTTTCCATGCTGAACAACGGCAACATGACAACGTTTCCATTGGTCCCTCTTCTTTAGAGAAGACCAGGAAATGATGGATACACGGATCGTGTTCAAATCAATAGGCACGCAATGACTGTTTGGAAAATGAGAGAAGTAGAAAGTACAGGTATTTGAGTTCAACATGTAAGAAGTAGAAAGTACAGGTATTTGAGTTCAACATGTAAGAAGTAGAAAGTACAGGTATTTGGGTTCAACATGTAAGAAGTAGAAAGTACAGGTATTTGGGTTCAACATGTGAGAAGTAGAAAGTACAGGTATTTGAGTTCAACATGTGAGAAGTAGAAAGTACAGGTATTTGAGTTCAACATGTAAGAAGTAGAAAGTACAGGTATTTGTGTTCAACATGGAAGAAGTAGAAAGTACAGGTATTTGTGTTCAACATGTAAGAAGTAGAAAGTACAGGTATTTGAGTTCAACATGAAAGAAGTAGAAAGTACAGGTATTTGTGTTCAACATGGAAGAAGTAGAAAGTACAGGTATTTGTGTTCAACATGTAAGAAGTAGAAAGTACAGGTATTTGAGTTCAACATGTAAGAAGTAGAAAGTACAGGTATTTGTGTTCAACATGGAAGAAGTAGAAAGTACAGGTATTTGTGTTCAACATGTAAGAAGTAGAAAGTACAGGTATTTGAGTTCAACATGTAAGAAGTAGAAAGTACAGGTATTTGTGTTCAACATGGAAGAAGTAGAAAGTACAGGTATTTGAGTTCAACATGTAAGAAGTAGAAAGTACAGGTATTTGAGTTCAACATGTAAGAAGTAGAAAGTAAAGGTATTTGTGTTCAACATGGAAGAAGTAGAAAGTACAGGTATTTGTGTTCAACATGTGAGAAGTAGAAAGTACAGGTATTTGTGTTCAACATGGAAGAAGTAGAAAGTACAGGTATTTGTGTTCAACATGTGAGAAGTAGAAAGTACAGGTATTGTGTTCAACATGTAAGAAGTAGAAAGTACAGGTATTTGACTTCAACATGTAAGAAGTAGAAAGTAAAGGTATTTGTGTTCAACATGTAAGAAGTAGAAAGTACAGGTATTTGTGTTCAACATGTGAGAAGTAGAAAGTACAGGTATTTGAGTTCAACATGTAAGAAGTAGAAAGTACAGGAATTTGTGTTCAACATGTAAGAAGTAGAAAGTACAGGTATTTGTGTTCAACATGTAAGAAGTAGAAAGTACAGGTATTTGTGTTCAACATGTGAGAAGTAGAAAGTACAGGTATTTGAGTTCAACATGTAAGAAGTAGAAAGTACAGGTATTTGAGTTCAACATGAAAGAAGTAGAAAGTACAGGTATTTGAGTTCAACATGTGAGAAGTAGAAAGTACAGGTATTTGTGTTCAACATGGAAGAAGTAGAAAGTACAGGTATTTGAGTTCAACATGAAAGAAGTAGAAAGTACAGGTATTTGTGTTCAACATGGAAGAAGTAGAAAGTACAGGTATTTGAGTTCAACATGTAAGAAGTAGAAAGTACAGGTATTTGTGTTCAACATGAAAGAAGTAGAAAGTACAGGTATTTGTGTTCAACATGTAAGAAGTAGAAAGTACAGGTATTTGAGTTCAACATGTAAGAAGTAGAAAGTACAGGTATTTGAGTTCAACATGTAAGAAGTAGAAAGTACAGGTATTTGTGTTCAACATGTAAGAAGTAGAAAGTACAGGTATTTGTGTTCAACATGTAAGAAGTAGAAAGTACAGGTATTTGAGTTCAACATGTAAGAAGTAGAAAGTACAGGTATTTGAGTTCAACATGTAAGAAGTAGAAAGTACAGGTATTTGAGTTCAACATGTAAGAAGTCAAAGTAAAAAGTCATCAGAAAAATAAGTAGTGGAGTAAAGTACTGAAACCAGACACATTTACTTAAGTTCAGTAACAAAGTATTTGTACTCTACTACTTCCCATCTCGGTGGTTGATCATTGGTGGCAAAACAAAAGAACAGATGACACACACACACACACACACACACACACACACACACACACACACACACACACACACACACACACACACACACGAGCCGCCTCAGGCCTTTACTGCAGCACTTTGAAAACATCTAAAAAAGGGGAAGAGCCCTTCAGTAACCCTTAAATACTCCCCCCTGCTCTCTCTCCTCCCTTTTCCCTTTTGGTCTTCAGTGCTCTTGGACCTGAAGTAAATCCTTGTGGACTGGTTGCTCAGCTATGCAGTAGAAAGAGAGGCGGATTAGCTCAAACTGAGCAAAGGATTTGACGTTTCCTCATCACCTGGCGGACCCTATTCTCCATTTCTTTTACACTTTCCTTCCTTTCTCCCCCTCTTTCTCCCCCTTTTCTCCCAGCCATGACCCTGTTATCAGGGGACCAGTCTGTGAGTTCTCAGCCCTGCAGAGTCCCAGAGGCCGGTAAACACATCACTTCTTCCCTGTACCCACAGACAGACTTCACCAAAGAAACCTTCATGGAAAGTGGGGAAAGTGGTGTCTTTGGAGCCGTGGAGCCCCACAGGCACTCCAGAGGACGCCTAATTCTCCACGCCACGGTAATGTTTGGACGGGAGTTCTGTTACGCCGTGGAGGCTGCCTTCGTCACGCCGGTGCTTTTGAGCGTGGGTCTTCCTCAGAGTTTGTACAGCTTGGTGTGGTTGATCAGCCCCATTTTGGGCTTCCTGCTGCAGCCGATCATCGGCAGCGCCAGCGACTACTGCCGCTCGTCGTGGGGCCGCCGGAGGCCGTACATCCTGGCTCTGGGGGTCCTGATGCTGGTGGGACTCACTCTGTTCCTCAATGGAGACGCTGTGGTCTCAGGTGAGTCAGGAGGGAGGATCTAGGACGAGATGGCAAAAGTACACACTTCCTTTACTCAAGTAGAAGTACAGATACTCGTGTTTAAAAATACTCTGGTGAAAGTAGAAGTACTGACTAAACGTCTTTACTCAAGTAAAAGTAAAGAGGCTTTGAAATGTACTTCAGTAAAAAGTACCCATAGCTAGCAGCTGTTTTAAAGAGTACCTGACCTCCCTTTATATTAATAGAACAATAATGTCATTGTTAGCTAATGAATGTTTCCATGCTGAACAACGGCAACATGACAACGTTTCCATTGGTCCCTCTTCTTTAGAGAAGACCAGGAAATGATGGATACACGGATCGTGTTCAAATCAATAGGCACGCAATGACTCTAAAGAATAATGATCACGCATCAAACACACATTCAGACTAAAGGAACCAGCTACTAATATACACCTGAACATCAGCAGGAGAGGACTCTTTAAAGTAGAGACACTACATACTGATATACACCTGAACATCAGCAGGAGAGGACTCTTTAAAGTAGAGACTCTACATACTGATATACACCTGAACATCAGCAGGAGAGGACTCTTTAAAGTAGAGACACTACATACTGATATACACCTGAACATCAGCAGGAGAGGACTCTTTAAAGTAGAGACACTACATACTGATATACACCTGAACATCAGCAGGAGAGGACTCTTTAAAGTAGAGACACTACATACTGATATACACCTGAACATCAGCAGGAGAGGACTCTTTAAAGTAGAGACACTACATACTGATATACACCTGAACATCAGCAGGAGAGGACTCTTTAAAGTAGAGACACTACATACTGATATACACCTGAACATCAGCAGGAGAGGACTCTTTAAAGTAGAGACACTACATACTGATATACACCTGAACATCAGCAGGAGAGGACTCTTTAAAGTAGAGACACTACATACTGATATACACCTGAACATCAGCAGGAGAGGACTCTTTAAAGTAGAGACACTACATACTGATATACACCTGAACATCAGCAGGAGAGGACTCTTTAAAGTAGAGACACTACATACTGATACACACCTGAACATCAGCAGGAGAGGACTCTTTAAAGTAGAGACACTACATACTGATATACACCTGAACATCAGCAGGAGAGGACTCTTTAAGTAGAGACACTACATACTGATATACACCTGAACATCAGCAGGAGAGGACTCTTTAAAGCAGAGACACTACATACTGATATACACCTGAACATCAGCAGGAGAGGACTCTTTAAAGCAGAGACACTACATACTGATATACACCTGAACATCAGCAGGAGAGGACTCTTTAAAGTAGAGACACTACATACTGATATACACCTGAACATCAGCAGGAGAGGACTCTTTAAAGTAGAGACATAGAATATACACTGCATCGTTTTAAGTATGCTAAAAGTAAACAAGTATCACATGAATGCAGTGGAGTAGAAGTACACAGTGGGTGAGAAACAGAAAAGCAGACGGAGAGAGGGGGAGGCTCGGATGTATTTTTGGTCTTGTCAAATCAGAGAATGAGCTCTTGTTTTGGGCGCCGGCTGTGACTCAGAGGGAATAACAGAGAATGAATAATCATCTCTCTCCATTAGAGAAACTGGAATTACAAAAAGAGAAATCATTTAATCTCATTCTTATGTCCGCTCGGAAAGATAATCATGGCTTGTCAAACTCAAGATATGCATGAAAAGTGTTGTAGCTTTCTATGCTTTGCTTTCTAGCTCTTGCAGTCAAACTTTATCAGTATCTTCTCGTTCTGACATTTTGATAAAAATAACGAAATAGAGGTCCTGTGTGGCTCCTCTGCTCACACATTGAACCTGTGACTGAAGTGTGTGACTCGTCGATGTGATGCCCGCTGGCACACACAGATGACTGAGAAAATGGTTTTATACCGTTTTAAACACAATTTGTACAATTTAAAATCCCCAAAAGTCTGCAAACATGTGTTTGGCACATGTTCTGGAGAGGTTTATTGATCATTAAACCATAAAATAAACAAGTAAACAGGCAACACAATGTGTATAAAACGAGCTGCACGATACTTATGTCCGCTTGCCTAATCAGCTTGTTTTAAAATTCTTAGTTGAATGCTGTGATTGTTGATTGAGTTTATTATTATTTCTTTATTTTCTTTGTCTGGAATTTGCTCCAATCATCGCTCGTTAAGCTGATTATCGCTCCGTGTTTCTCAGGATTGTAGAAAATGCCACATGTCGTGTTTGCAGTATAATCAGTATTGTCGAGTTTTCCCTTTTGATTTGAGCTAGCATTTCTCTGTGTGTTTCATAATTATAGAGGTCACTCTGTGTAACTGCATAACAACCTCTCTCTGCTGTACTACAACTAATTTAAACGTGTAATTATATTAGAGTTAGACATGTTTTTTGCGAGGGATGAACCAAATTATCAATACACTGGGATGTGATTTTTTTAGTTAGGATGCCACCTGGGCGCCTCCCTAGGGAGGTGTTCCAGGCACGTCCAGCTGGGAAGAGACCAAGGGGTAGACCTAGGACCAGGTGGAGGGATTATATCTCTTCGCTGGCCTGGGAGCGCCTTGGGATCCCCCAGTCAGAGCTGGTTGATGAGGGGAAAAGAAAGTTTGGGGCTCTCTGCTGGAACTGATACCCCCGAGACCCGACCACGGATAAGCGGGAGAAGATGGATGGAGATTTTTATTCTCAAAAACACTATGTTTTTTAGTTAATAAGTGAATGTAATTAGTTCACCTGCCGAGTTTCTGTACAAGAAGAATGTGTTTGTACCACAGAGAAAAAAAGTCAACATTTTTAGAAAAAAAAGTCAGGATTTACATTTTTTTTATTAATAGTCAGAATCTGGAGGGAAAAAAAATTTGAGAACAAAAATTATAATTAAGAGAAAAAAGTCAGAATCTTCAGAAAATATTTTTGTGAGAAAATCTGAATCTTTAGAACAAAATTCTAAATGTTCTGAAAATGTTTTGGGGCAGAAAAAAAGTCAGAATAAAATAAATATATCATTGAGAAACATTTCGGAATTCTGAGACAAAAGTAATTTTTGAGCAAAACATCAGAAATCTAAGAAGAAATCTGAATCCTGGGAAAAGAGACATTTGGGAAAAGTCACATCAGAGTTGTTTCTTTTTGACACTTCAAGTATAGTGCTAGAGTCGTCATTATTTAGTTTGTGAATAATGAGGTGTTTTTGTTCCGTCTTTCAGAATTAGTCACGGACAAGTCGTTGAAGAGCACCTGGGCCATCGTGATCGTGATGCTGGGAGTCGTTCTGTTCGACTTCGCCGCAGATTTCATCGACGGACCCATCAAAGCGTACCTGTTCGATGTGTGCTCTCATTCAGACAAAGAGAGAGGGCTTCACTACCACGCTCTACTCACAGGTGTGTACCACAGACCCCGTGAAGATAACATAAGAAGTACTTTATTGATCCCAATTTAGGAGATGTTTGCGTTGCAGATTCCACACCACACTTCGCCAGACACAGTGACTTTCTTCTTGCCTCCAGGAAGTCTCAATTTGAGTGTGTTTTAATACTTTTTAGCGTCTGTCCGACCTTTTTCTGAAATTCTCAAAATGTTGACTTTTACCTGAAAAGCTAATAATTGTTACTTTTTTCAAAAAAAATCAGAATTTTTGGAAATCTCTAAATTCTGACTTTTTCTGAATATCTAAAAAATATCTTTCTCAACATTTTGACTTTATTCTAAAAAACTAATAATTCGGGCTTTTTTCTGAAAAACTAATAATTCAGACTTATTTTTCAAATCCTCACTTTTCCTTAAATATCAATTATTTTCTTTAAATTCTGACTTTTTATCAAAATGTTGACTTTTACCTGAAAAACTAATAATTGTTACTTTTTTAAAAACAATCTGACTTTTTGGAAATCTCTAAATTCTGACTTTTTCTGAACATCTAAAAATATTGACTTTTTTTCTCAACATTTTGGCTTTTTTCTGAAAAACTAATAATTCAGACTTTTTTTTCAAATCCTCACTTTTTCCTTAAATATCAGACTTTTTCTAAAAATCTCAAAATTCGGACTCTTTTCTGTTTAGTTTTGACTGAGCATATAAGAGAAATTAAAACACTAGAAATAAACAATCCAAAATATTTCTGAAATAAAATAGCATTAAAAAGTTAAAAAATATACATGTGGAAATCGTGGAAATGTACAGTAACAAAAAGATAAGAAGGATATTATATATACATTAATTGTGCAAGGAAATGATTATTAAATATTAAATTGAATATTAATGTAAAACAGTGGGAGTTTAATTCCAGTTATCAAGAGAAGCTTTGGAGCAGAGAGTTCTCTTCCAGCCAGAGGAGATTTGTTGCATTTCAATGCTTTTTTAATCTGTCATAAATCTCCACTTTATGGCGTTTTCCAACGTGTGTTTTTCCTGTGAGTTCGTCAGGACTTGTTTGTTTGCTGACAGTTTCAGCAGGAGCAGTTATCAGAGAGTTATGGCAGTGATTCTGAGTTTAATGGGTGGTTTTTATGGCGTGATATGGAGTGGGTGGAAGAGTCCATACTGAAGGAAGTGTTAATAGGATTTTATGGACGTTGTTGCAATCTGTGAATGTTAACTCTGGATGACCTCTTTTTTCAAAATGTGATGAGACTTAGATAAGAACATTGATTTTAGGGAGACAGTTGGCATAGCAGTCAGAGCTGGTTGATGTCGCCAGGGAAAAGAAAGTTTGGGGCTCTCTGCTGGAACTGCTACCCCCGCGACCCGACCACGGATAAGGGGAGAAGATGGATTGATGGATGGATGGCTTAGCTTAGCTTAGCTTAGCATAAAGACTGGAAACAGGGGGAAACTGCTAGCCTAGCTCTGTCTTTGCTTAGTCTGTAGAAGAGTATAAAATGACATGTTTTAGTGGGCGTTAAGTGCCAGACTCTCTCTTCGCCAGACACGGTATCTTCTTGCCTGTGTCCAAATGTGTTTGAATACTTGTTTAGCGTCTAGCCTTTTGTTTTGGTTCTACATCCCACAACTTCTCTGTTTTGTTTCACTCCTTCATATCAGCGTCTTTTTAAATCCAAATCAGGCAGATGCTTCCCAGATAAAAGCTCTAAAGGATAAATGGACTGCTTTAACATAGCACCTGTTGACAATTAAACTCACTGGTTCATGAGTTTTTGAGGTATTATAAATATGTTGCAGAAGTCTGCTTGTGCAAGAAATAGAGGCAAATGTACGGTTACAATATAACAGTGCTGTTTGTGTCCTATGTTAATATCAACGTTGTTTTAAAAGAAAAGTACATCTGTACTTAATGGACATTGCAAAGGTACCGTCAAACCAGGATTTTTTACATAACATAACCAAGTAGTTCTTATAAGCTTTCGTTTTAATTTACAACACAAAACAAATGTTTTTAATTGTATGGGAACAAAAAAATGTTGCTTGGAAATAAGTTCAGTGTTTTGCTCAAGGACCTGGGGTTAAACAGCTAACACCCAAATACTAAAAAACAGATACAGATATTTGGTGGAGACCAAAAACGGAGCTAAAATTGGACGACCCCAAATAAATCATGTGTTTCTGTAACTGCTAAATGTTTAAATGATCAACAGTTGTAAGAAGACAAAATGTGGTTTGATGTCAGTGTTGCTTCACAAATTGCTGTGAAAACAGAATCTCCTCAGCGTTAGCAGCGTTAGCATTGAAATTAGCTCCAATGAAACCACATTAAAAATACAACAGACCAAAACTCGCCTTTTTGATCATTGTCTTCGTTTTTTTTATCCCATAATTCTGACTTTTTTTCTCAGAATTCTCACTTTTTCAGAAAATCGCAACATTTTGACTTTTTTCTGAAAAACTAATAATTGTTATTTTTTCCCAAAAAATCGGACTTTTTAAAAATCTCTAAATTCGGAAAAAACTAACAATTCTGAAAAAAAAAAAAATCCTCGCTTTTTTCTTAAGGTTCTGACTTTTTCTGAAAATCTAACACTTTTTTTACTTTTTCTCAACATTTTGACTTTTTTCTCAAAAACGAATAATTCTGGCTTTTTCTAGAAAAAGTAATAGTTTTTTTTTCAAATCCTCACTTTTTCCTTAAAATTCTGTCGTTTTTTCTTATAATTCTGACTTTGTTATTAAAATCATAAAATTCTGACTTTTTCTGAAAATCTCAAAATGTTTTATTTTTTCCAAAAATGTTGAGTTTGTCTGAAAAACTAATAATTGTCACTTTTAAAAAAAAAATCTGACTTTTTGAAAATCTCATTTTTTTCTCAAAATGTTGACTTTATTCTCAAAAACTAATAATTCACAAAAAAAATTAAAATCCTCACTTTTTCCTTAAATTTCTGTATTTTTTTCTTAAAATCTTAAAATTCTGGCTATTTTTGAAAAACGCTAAATTCTGACTTTTTTATGTTTAGTTTTGACTCCTCTCCCTTACTAAATATACCAAATGAGTTGAGGATCAAGCAAATACATATCATGATGTGTGATCATGATGTGATTTCTGAAATTCTGACTTCTTCCTGAATACTCAGAATTCTGTAATGTAATTATCTCAAATGTACCCACATTAAAAATAGACCAACAGACCCCAGAGTCAAAACTGGCCTATTTGATCGTTGTTTCGCTCATACGTCATTGAGATGTTGCCAGTAAAACACCCCTGTGTTCCTGACGTGGTTTTATCAGATTAGGATCGCCAAATTAAACCGAATGCTTCCTTTCTTAATAAATTCCTCAGGGGAAATTACAGCGTGAGTTTGAACTCCTTTTCCCTTTGAGGGATTTGCAGGATATTGAACATTAGCTCCAGGTCCAAAGCATTTCAGAGGGATTTTTATTGCCTTGTTCACAAACTTTTAATTGTCCATGGCCACTTTTTCACCGTGTTCACTTCACCTTCAGGTCGTTGACGTAATGACAACATTTCAGAAAAAGTGTAGACGGAGGTCAGACGCAGCATCGATTCTTTTATTATACTCGATGTCTGGAGGTTGAGATTTCATTCACACAACTTTTCCCTCTGAAGGAGAGCTCGATGTGCCCGAGGCCAAAAGGCTGAGTTACTCACATCCTGGATGATATCACAACTTGTTTTTGGAGATATTTTTGCCCGATGGACACATTCAGACACATCTAAGAGTGAGCCAATAACGTGCTACTTAGTGGATGTGTTAACAAAGCGTAGGTTGTTTAAAAACCCTCTGTATTTTTGTCATACAGTGAGATTTGAGTCATGTGACAGCCCACACTCCATATTTGAGCCCCTATTGACGGAGCCACATGCTCCCTTATACAAATACACGAGATACTTTACGACATATTTGGGTAGTTTTTTAATGTAGCACATTTTGACAACAAAGCAATTTAAAGTGCTTTACAAAAAAATGTAAAAGCATAAAAACACAATTCAAAAGAAGCTCCGTTTAATCGCGTTCATTAAAAAACCAAGAGAATACAAAATTAGATAAGCTGAAAGAGGGAAAGTTAAAGTTCTGTGTAAAATCTGAATATTTCAGAATTAGAAATATTGCATTCGTCCCACAGCGGAGACATTTACCGTTTTATAGCAAAGTACTAAATAAAGAGGCAAGCACATGTTTATAAAACATTATATAAGCCAAAAATATCAATAATAAATTGTGAAAAAACGTATATTGCACATAACCAGTATAATTGATTACAACTTATTTTATTCTATGTTTCATTTCTACACTTCTACCTTACTCAATATGAATCCAAATGAGTTTTAAACATACGGGATAAGCCTTTATTGCAAAAGTTATATTTGATATAATGTAAGGAAGCAGCACACAGATAGAACTCCAGACTTTATTCAAAAAGCTGTGAACGTTCAATCTTTCTGGGAGTTCTGACTCCTCTTCCTTCCTAAATATGATCCAAATGAGTTCAGGATCAAGCAAATACATATCCTTTCAAGGACCGTGATGTTTAGGGTGATTTCTCGAATTCTGACTTATTGCTGAAAAACTCAGAATTCTGCCTTTTTCTTTCAATTCTGCCTTTTTTTTTAATTCTGCCTTTTTCTTTAAATCCCATAATTTGGCATTTATTTTCTCAAAATGTTGACTTTTATCCGAAAAGCTAATAATTATTTTTGTTTTTTATCGGCTTTTTGAAAATCTATTAATTCTGACTTTTTTTTCTTAAAATTCTTAATATTTACATCAATCTTAAGATTCGTACTGAATATGACCCAAAATTAGTTTAGGATCAAGCAAATATCCTTTTTTCGAGGAGCATGACGTTTAGAGTGTGCTCTGAACTCTCAAATTCTGACTTTTAAAGAAGATCCCAAAATTCTGACTTTTATTCTCAGAATTCTGAAGTTTTAGAAAATGTCATAATCCCGACATTTTTTCAAACCCTG